ATCTGGAAGAGAAATTTGGAATGAGTTCCAGAATGAATCTTTGTGTTGATTGTATCTGTACTGTATCTAGAAGAGAAATCTAGAATGAGTGCCAGAATTAATCTGTGTTTTTATTGTATCTGCACTGTATCTAGAAGATGATAAACTGTTTGGGGAAATAAACCCTATTGATGGAGAAGTACTCTTGCTGAGGAAACACCCTTGTTAAGGAAATGAACTTTGTTGGAGAGCAGAAGTCTGAAGGAGGTTTTACAACCTTTGAGGAACAAGCTCAGCTGGGGAAGAGAAACTCCATGAACTGTAATGATTAAAACTCTGTAGGTTGGTGATATTTCCAGGAAGAAGATCATACTCCTTTGTCCTCCAGAGCGATCTACCGGGGAAATTGCAGGGAATGTATGACTTTGTGAAGATTACTTTGTGGAGATAATCTCATGGAATTGGCTATGCGGGGGTCCGTGGAGACTTGAACATACCTCATCTTCTAGAGCCCTTGGTGAATGTTGATCGGGGCGATAAGTCTTCTACTGATAGACAAGTGACGAGATGACGGGACATAGTCGTACGCTTTAATTATTAATGAGAATTAAAATTAATAAAAAGAAAACTAATTCTATATTTTTTTTGTTTTTTTTATTTTACGATTTTTTTAATGATTTTTTATTATAAAAATAAAAAGGAATTAATTAAAACAAAAGAAAATAAATAAGACAAAGGATAATATGGGCCATGTTGCAAAAAGCAAATAGGGGGTGAGAATCTGAAAATGTCCCAAGCCCAATAAATCAGAGCTCGGGTATTTGCACAGGATCCTGTACGTATGACCCTTGAAGGATGTATGGTGGAAAGGTGCCTTTGAGTCTTTAGATATGGCTTTAGTTTAGCCTGAAAGTCCCTGCATTTTGAATTATGAATCTCAAAAGTTCTTGAGCCCTAACAATGGCATCCTGTGATTTAATCATTTAAATTGACATGTGATACGTTAAACCTGCTCTAATCATTTCCATAAACATATATGCATGCGTTAGATTGGTTAACAATATACATACACACACACACACACACACACACACACACACACACACACACACACACACACACACACACACACACACACACACACACACACACACACACACACACACACACACACACATATATATATATATATATATATATATATATATATATATATATATATATATATATATATATATATATATATATATATATATATATATATATATATATATATATATATATATATATATATATATATATATATATATATATATATATATATATATATATATATATACTAACAGATTGAATCCAAGAAAACTATACCAAATTGGTGATAATCATAGTGATCATTCTGAACATGAAGGGACTCAGTTATGAGTTGGATTCGATTCCTGGATGCCTCAGAGAAGTGATTCGGTCACTTGTTTGGATTGTTGGGGCTTTGAAATGCAGATACGGGTTTGCACTAGTTTGAGATTTTTTTTGAAAATTTTGTAGAGCTTTTGTTAGGCAATTGGAGAGATTTTTTAAGAGGGATTTCGTGCTCCTTTGCATATGGTTTGCTTATGCTTATATAGAGGTATGAATGAGGCAACATACATGGCAAGGAATCAAGTAATCAAACCATGATAAAACAAAAATCAAACATATTGAAAACTTTCCATTTTTTGAGTTTGTTCTTGCCATTTTTTAAGATCCTTGTCTCAAACATGTATCTCAAGGTTTTGGCAAGCTTTTATAAGGTATTGGCCTTCTATAAGATCCAAAACAAAAGCTCACATGCCTTATACCATTATTTCATATTTTATTTGATTTAATTTGCATTTAAATGAATAAAAATTCAAATAAAAGAAATAAAAATTATAAAAAATATGTGAATTGATTTAGAGGTCCTCTAACACCTTATGAACATGTTTTAAAATCAAAAGTTAGGCCCACTAGTTCAAAACTTCATGTTTGTTCACATTGCATTTCATGCATTTTCTTAAAATTTCCCAACTTGTACAACTCATAACTTGCTCAATTTTCATATTTTGAATATGATCTTTGACTTTTTAGAAAACTAAAGATGTCCCCTACAATATCTATGTTTACCATTTTTACATTTGGAGAAATCATCTTGATGTAACTTGCCATGATAAAAAATGTCTTTTTGTTAACTTTTAAAAAGACCTGTAATGTATTGGCTCATATCTTTCCAATGATGCATTTTTTGAACTTGAGGATAAAAGAAAGGTTGTAGGTAATTTAATTTTCATCACAATAAGCTTTGGCTGGGGCAAAATGGATGAGAAATGTGAAAGTTATGCCTGATCAAATTTTAGTTGACTTTCTCTAGGGAAACCCTAATTTAACAATTTTGATTCTTGAGGATTTGAGATCATTCCTTGAGGAATCATGATCAATCCTTGATCAAATGATGGATACCATTTAAAAATATTGATGTTGACCAAAAATCTTAAATTTTGACTGTATGTTGAATCTTGAATTAATTGAATCTAAACTCAAAGTTTATGCGGATTGGTAGTTTTTTTTTTTAGCGTGGTTGATTATTTCTTTTTCTAATTCATATGAATTCTATTTTATCATACAAATCTATTTTATTCTACCACCTTCCCGGAGTTAAGTCTCCGGGGAATTTTTATTTTTGAATGATATCGTTGGCAATCATAAAAAGACAATTCCCCTTTAATCTAGCTATTTGTGCAACTATTTTACGATTAAGAAGCAATTGATTCTTGTACAGATTATACATTAAATTACTATAGCGATAGTATATTGTTTCTTTATTTTGGCTTATTATTGCATTTATTCGACTGATCCACAAACTGCGAAAGTCCCTTTTTTTCTTATCTCTATCCCGTTGAGACGAAACCAAAGCTTTTATTCTCTGTTGGAAAATAATTTGAATAAGTTTTGAATGAGCTCCGCGAAAGCCTAATGTAAAGGAATTCAATTTTGTCCTCCGTTTTCTCGCGATAGATCCTCGTTTAATTTTGTTCATTGGATAAATGAGACTTTGATTAATAACTATTTAATTTTTTTTTCTTTCAGTTATTCTTTTATCCTTTCTAGTCTATTACGAACAACATGGATTCTTCCAATGTGGAAAATATAAATTCCAATGGCTTTTGCTACTATAACCTTCCCAACCACTATTTTTTTCTTCGTTTTTTCTAAGTATAAGTATTTTAACTCTTAATAATAACTTCTATTGATACTAGGTATTCAAAAAAACATAGTAAATAAAATAGAAATAAACAAAGAAATCGTGGGTTCCATCGTTTCTATGATTACTTGTTAAACGGTGAGGTCCTCTCTATACACCGGAGCCCCTTCCTTCATTGAATCTTGATTCAATCAATGTTATTGTGAACTTGTACAGTTCACACTTCTTAGCTCTACCCATTGAATATATAGTAATAGGTCTTTCACAATAAAATTTAGCTATACAGTAACGGTATTTAAGTATGAAGATTAGCTGGGTAGTTGACCCTCTTAGTCTGTTATTGCTAAAATTAGGGCATAATTTGTCTTTATTTCAAAGAGGATCTTTCCCGCTTAATGGATCACTTTTTGTTACCAATGGGAAAAGTATATTTCATCTTAAATTAAAAATTAAGGTAATTTGTTTTGCACCAATTGAGAAAGCATAAATTTTATACACAATAGAATTATATATATATATATATATATATATATATATATATATATATATATATATATATATATATAATTATTATTAATTGAATATATTTTTTAATTTCAGTATATGATCTAAACGAGTCGCACATACACCTTAATACATGTTCCTCGGCGTTGAGGGCATCCCCGAAGAGCGGGAGATTTTGTTACAGTCCGGATTGGCTGTCTTGTGTTTCTAATAAGTTGGTTTATAGTTGGCATGGGGAGTCATATACATAATGAGCTGGTTTGGATCAATACTAACCTGATAATTTTCAAATTGATAAGGACTCTATAAAATCGGGTGATTAAAAAGATAAAAGACAACATCAAATTATAATTCTGCATTTAGTCGGTACGCTAGGAAAGAAGCATCAGAAATAGTAGAAAGAAAATATTCTCATTTATTAGGATCAAAAAGGGAATAAAGATTTTATGCAAATTTTGTGATGCAGTTGATTTTCAAACATTTAGCCATTGACTGAGCAAACTTGTGATGCAAGACATGAAACTTGGCATGAGCATAATGATGACATATTAGGAACCATGGAAATCACTTGAGACCTTTGAAACCCAAACTTCTTCGTTAAAAGTGAAACCCAAGTTGGAAGTCCATTGCTTATGAGGAGAATTTGTCTAGTCAATTCTTAGTCAACCTTGAGCACTTGGGGACCTCTATGAATATGTATTGAATAAAATGAGAGGACAAATTTTAGGGTACAACAACGTCGGAATAAACGAGATTGATTCTAACCTCCCTCTTTATATAAAGCTCTTCACACACGAAGTTCTAGATATTCTACTCATTCTCACACTTACACTATTGTTTATTTATTCACTAACTTGAACGTTGGAGCTAGTTTTATAGACTCACTCCGATATGTTGTATCAAAAACTCACTCGACACTCGATTTCTATTTCACTCCATCAACAACTACTTATGATTTCTCAATGGAACAATATTTAAGTATTAAAAAAATCACAATTAATTTTTCCAATTCACAAAGAAAATTAAGTTAAACTACTCTCTATGTCTAATAAATTTCATCATTTAATATCGTCTCTTTTTTTACTAATACTATTTTTTGTTTTTTTGGAATTTTTTTGAATGATATTAATAGTGTCTTCATGTTGAGACATGCGGCAAGTCCCTTTTATTTCTCTATAAATACAAATGATTCTCCTCAACTTTAGACAAATCTTAACACTTGTCATAAAGTATTGGCCCATTATTGTTCTAGCAACATAATAAAGTACAACAATTGCTAGAACTTACACAAACATATATATAAATGACTATTAACGAGGGAGTGACAAAAGAAACTGAATGGAGAATCAAAGTAGATGGTGTCATATGGAAAAGAGGTGAAATCTCTTGCATCATGTGGACATTCATAGCAAGTCTTTATTTCAAGTTGTGTGAATTTATTAAGAAATCTTGGGAAATTGGTGTGAATGATCCAAGAAAATTCATCCATTGTGTCAAGGTGGGAATAACACTTACAGTTGTTTCACTATTCTACTATCTAAACCCTTTGTATGATGGAGTTGGAGGAAATGCTATGTGGGCAGTAATGACTGTTGTTGTAGTCTTTGAATATACTGCTGGTAAATACTTCTAACTATATAATATATATATATTTTATTTTATTTTTTGAAACAATTAACAATTGAATTATACAATGGAATTTCAGGTTCTACAATATATAAAGGTATAAATAGAATATGTGGAACTACACTTGCTGGTCTTCTAGCCTTTGGTGTACATTGGGTTGCTAGTAAAGCTGGAGAGAAAATTGAACTCATAATTGTTGGAGTCTTCCTCTTTCTAATAGGTATACTATATATTTATAACCAACAATAATACTATTTGATAAAAAAATATTGATGATTAATAATATTTTTATTTATATTTCCAGCTTCTGTAGCTACATTCTCAAGATTTATACCAATCATAAAGGCTCGTTCTGATTATGGTGTCATGATATTTATCCTAACTTTCAGTTTGGTTTCGATATCGGGTTATAGAATTGATGAATTGTTTGATATTGCAAAATCAAGAATTTCAACAATCATAATTGGCACTTCATTGTGCATAATAGTTTGTTTGATTATTCGACCGGTTTGGGCTGGTCTAGATCTATATGTTTTAGTTATCGGAAATCTCAACAAACTTGCTGACTCTTTTCAAGGTTAGTATTTTCCAAAACACTCTCTTTAAATTAATATTTTATTTATATTAAAGCGATACTAAATCATATTTAAATTGTTACACTCAATCTTTTGGACCTCCGTTTAAATACCAACAACTTTTTTCTTCTTTCTTTTTCTTTTGATACAATAAGGAAGACTTTTTATAAAGAAAACTAATCAAGTTATTCACTTACATTTAACCTTGTTTATTTTATATATAGATAGTCACATCTACTACTATAATACATTAATTGTTATGGTCCAGGGTCTATGTCTTCATATTTTTTTTGTTTTAAGTGAAATTTAATTTAATTTTTATTGAAAACATACATATTAAACAGTATTTAAGATATTAAGTATTACTATAATTTACGAGATGGATGTTACCTTGACACTTATTTTCTATACCATTCTTACATTTATATATTTTTTAATATATTTATACGGTGAATAATATTTTATTTAATAAAATAATATTATTTTTAAAAAATATTTATTTTATAAATTTATTTTATAACAAAAATATAAAATCATGTCATTAATCAATTTTACAATTGAATTAACCACAAAATTATATGTTATTAACCAATTATTTTATTTATAATTTATTAACCACTTTTACTATTTTATTAACTAATAAAATATATATTATTAATTATGTTCTGACACTAAATTATAAATATATTAATCAACTTTTGTATTTTATTAACTAATTTTATTTTAATATTTAATATTTTTTACGTTTTAGAATTTATTAACCAAATTATAATTGTATTAACAAATTTTATATATAATATTAACTAAAATCTGAACTGTATATATATTAAAAATTTTATTTTAAAATATATATTAATTAAATTTTAATTTTTCATTAATCAAAATAATTTTAAACAAAAATATACTAAAAAGTCAAAATACTATGTATATATTGTTCACGTATTTGTGAATAATGTATTCGGTGTAGTGTGAAAATGTAATATTTTTGATATCTTATGCATAATATGTTTGAAAATTACTAACAACATTTATAAAAAAAATTATAAATTATTTAAAATCAATCTTAAAAACTACAAAAAAAAAATAATGGTTGATATTATTTGTTTACTTTTAGTTTTCGTTTTAAAGAAAATTAAACAAAAACACAGAATAATTCCTTAGTTTTCTTACCTGGACTTTAAGTTTTGTCTAATTATAAACATTGTGTAACTATTTGTTTCAGGTTGTGTGGCTCAATATTTTGAAGAACAAACAAGTGATGAGGAGTCTAACAAAAAAATGATGGCTTACAAAAGTGTATTAAACTCCAAAGTCACAGAAGAAACAATGGTATTACCTATATTATTATGGTCGCAAATCTGTTTTTAAATCATTATTCTCATATGTTAATGTGTTGGATAAAGATATGATACAGTATTATGATATATGATAAAAAGATATAGTCAACTTTACTATAATTTTTATTGACTAAAATAATATCACTGGTAATTTCAGGCTAATTTTGCTAGATGGGAACCTCCACATGGAAAATTCAATTTCCGCCACCCATGGAAACAATATCTTAAAATTGGAGCCACAATGCGTAGGTGTGCTTCATGCATAGAAGCTCTTAATGGTTGCATAAATTCAGAAAACAAGGTAATATCTAAATTCTTTAATATAAATACATAAATATAATAAGAAAATAATATTATTGAGGTAGATTTAATAAATTATTATTGAATTATTTTTTGCAGACATCATATGACATAAAGAAAATCATGAGTGCAGCATCTATGAAAGTAGGTGCCAACAGTGCAAGTGTCTTAAGAGAGTTGGCAATTACAATCAAAACTATGACAAAGTCAAATAAGCTTGATATTTTGGTGATAGAAATGAATAATGGTGCACAAGAGCTTCAAAAATTATTAAAATGTTATGATGATGGAAAAATTGAAATCCCAATAATGGAAATTATTGAAGTGGTGAGTGTGGTTTCTTTGCTTGATGAAATTGTAGTCCGTGTGAAAGACATTGTGAAATGTGTTGAAGAATTGTCGGATTTGGCAAAATTTAAACCTGCAGTATTGGCCAAGTGTAACAAATCCAAACCAGCAGACAATAAGATCTCTCCGGAAGACCAAAATGATGACGAAAGAATAATCAAGACACTCCAAATTGTTTGAATATTTAAAAGATACTTGCATGTAATTCAATTTTGTCCATTTGATTTTAAAAAGTTCTAAAAAAATGGTAATAGTATTTTCTTTTTTTTTATGTTTTCCATCAGAGTTAATATTCTTACAAATTCTAAGAGTCGTAGCCATATGAGATGTAGTAATATTAATATAACAAAAATATGATAATGAAATATATAATAAGAGTAACACTCTTTGGGTAACTGTATAGGCCAGCTTCAAGCACCATGTCTATCTTAGCGCTAATTTTCGATTCCATCTGCTTTGATCTAATTTTTTAGGGAACTCCACATGAATGCACCCACAATCTTGATGATTCTTGCTCTTGCGTTGGTACACCGCTCATCACAAGTGAATGTCAGTTTCTGCAAAACCAATCGCACCAATGTGCCATAGGTATGGTAATTTTAGCCACTACCCCAGGCACTCAAAATCTCAAGAAATTTTAATTGTTTAGATCATGTTTTGTAAAGTTTCAATATTTTGAAATGTAATGTTTATCAAAAATATCAGACGTTTTTGCAAATAAATCAGTAAACATAAAAACAAAGGAAAAGATGTTGGATAAAAAGAGAATTTTATTGATTAATTGTCTTGTAAATATGCATACACATCAGGAAGCAATTCCTAAAAGAGGTGATTGCGCATCAAAAAGAAAATACAAAGATGGCAATGTGAAAACGGATTTCCACCGGATTTCGATTCTGCTATAACTCTTATGTCCTCGAGGTTTCTCTATATCTTGCTTTCTAAAGAAGATGATTGGATTGGTCCCGACCCTTCAGAGTCACCAACTATAATGATGAGATGATACTAAAGATCTAACCCAGACCGCAATCATTCGCTTTTAAAATCCCCAACTTTTGTCTAAATCACCCTTTCGGGGTTTCAATCCACCAGGAAACCCATTTTTCTTAAGTCGCATTTTCGGGTTTTCAACTTAGAGGGTGTACTCAATTCTTTTTTATTCTTTTCTTTTTTATCCCTAATTTTTGCCTGAACCTTTTTCCTTTTTTGTGATTCGCCAGGATGCCCCTTTTTTCCTAAGTCGTCGACTTAGCGGACCTTTTTATGCGAAGTATTTTTTAACTACGTCAGCATTCACTGGATGTAGAAAAATTTCCCCATCCATAGTTACAAGTATCATGGCTCCTCCTCAGAAGAGTTTCTTTACTACATATGATCCTTTGTATTTTGGAGCCCATTTTCCCCTAGCATTTGTGTTATTGGGAGGCAGGATCCTCTTCAATACAAAGTCTCTAGATTGGAATTTCCGAGGATGAACTTTCCTATCAAAGGCATTTTCATCCTTGTTTGATACAATATCCCGTGACTGATGGCTGCTAATCTCTTCTCACCAATGAGGTTCAACTGATCAAGTATGTTCTAAACCCATTCAGCTTCATCAAGCTTCACGTCTGTCATAATTCTTAAAGAAATAATCTTGATTTCCACGAGTAGGATTGCTTCTATACCGTATACAATAGAGAAAGGGGTTGCCCCAGTTTAGGTACGTACCGAATTACGATATGCATGCCAAGCGAAAGACAACGTCACATGCCAATCCTTATAGGTCACCATCATTTTCTGCATAATCTTCTTGATATTTTTATTAGCTTCCTCAACATCATCATTCATCTTCGGACGATACGGTGAAGAATTGTGATGTTTAATCTTGAAAATTTTCACACTTCTTCATCATCTTGTTATTGAGATTAGATCCATTATCAGTAATGATCATTTTTGGGAACTCCGTAAAGACAAATGATTTATTTCTTGATAAAACAGGCAACCACTTACTTGGTGACATTGCATAAGATGCAACTTCGACTCATTTGGTGAAGTAATCTGTTGAAACTAGGATGAAACAGTGTCTGTTGGAAGTTGACCGCTCAATTCGACCAATCATATCAATGCCCCACATAGTAAAAGGCCATAGAGAGGTAAAGACATTCAACAGAACGAGAGACACATGCACTTTATCAGCATATATCTGGAATTTGTTGCAAATTTTGGCATGACTGTAATAATCAACGTCCATGGTAGACCAATAGTAACCTGCTCTCAAGATTTTCTTGGCCATAATGTACCCATTAGAATGTGTTCCAAAGGAACCCCTGTGTGCCTCTTCTATGATCTTAGCTTCTTTGTGTCTATCCACGCATCTGAGCAACACAAAATCATAGTTTCTTTTATACAACACCCAACCATTGAGTAAAAACTTAGTTGAATACTTCTGTAGAGTCTTCTTATCTATAATAGACGCATCTTCTAAATACTCTTGCATTTCAAGATACCTCTTTGTGTCATACAACCAAGGCTTCTCATCAGTTTATTCATCTGTTGCATAACAAAATGTTGGCTCATCCAACCTCGTGATGGTGATAAAGGGTGCTTCACTGGCCCATTTGACACTGAACATGGATGACAGAGTAGTAAAGCATCTGCCAGATGATTCTCCTCCCTTGGGATATGATTAAATGTGATCTCGTCAAAATACATAATCAACTTCAATTTAAATATCAGTTTACAAGTGGCTCTAAGATGATAAATGAATCTAGAAATGTAGTTCAACCTCCCCAAGAAACCTATTTACTGTGGAAATTGGTAAACAACCGTTGGTCCTCCCAAATTCCTGAAACTGAGGGTTACTTGCAAGATCGACCAGTTGATCTTAAGACGCGTGCTAAGATTTCTTGATTATTATACCTATTTTGTCGAAATTCTTATCAAAGGGACGATTTCCTTATGATTAAGGGAATAGGTAGAATAACAGCTTTCCACACAATAGTTAAATCGAATGACTGGTGACTCGTGACCGACAGAAGATCTTTTAAGATTCAAAACACTAAATTCCTGGTGACTCGTGACCGACAAGAAGTATTGAACAGTTTAGAGAAAATCAATAATGATGTAGAACCCGTGTTCGACGATGAATATAAAACATACAGAATAATCACGAAAGACTTTCTAAACTCTTCGTTCCCGACACTCGGAGATGAGAGTTTTGATGAGTGATTTGATCATACAAGTGAACACCCAAAATTGACAATAAAATGACCTATTTATAGTATTTACATCATAACTGCCTAAAATAAAATCTACAGGTCAGATTTGACCCCCAATGGTAACTGCTCCACTGGATGCTTCCACCTATTTGGCGCCCAAATAATCATGCTTACTGTGGAAATTGGTAAACAACCGCTGGTCCTCCCAATATCCTGAAACTGAGGGTTACTTGCAAGATCAACCAGTTGATCTTAAGACGCGTGCTAAGATTTCTTGATTATTATACCTATTATGTCGAAATCCTTATCAAAGGGACGGTTTCCTTATAATTAAGGGAACAGGTTCAATAATGGCTTTCCATACAATAGTTAAATCGACTGACTGATGACTCGTGACCGACAGAAGATCTTTTAAGATTCAAAACACTAAATTCCTGGTGACTCGTGACCAATAAGAAGTATTGAACAATTTAGGAAAAATCAATAATGACGTAGAACCCGTTTCGAAGACGAATATAAAACATACAGAATAATCACGAAAGACTATTAAAAGTTAAAAGATTCGCATTTAAAGTAAAGGTGGTGATTCACGTACATCAAACACTTTCTGAACTCTTCGTTCCTGATGCTCGGAGATAAGAGTTTTGATGAGTGATTTGATAATAAAAGTGAACACCCAAAATTGACAATAAAATGACCTATTTATAGTATTTACATCATAACTGCCTAAAATAAAATCTACGGGTCAAATTCGACCCCCAATAGTAACTGCTCCACTGGATGCTGCCACCTGTTTGGCGCCCAAATAATCATGCAATCGTGCTTGGAAGTTGTGCATTTGACTTCTCTCGCTCCTGGCCACTACAGATAATTGCTCCTAGTTTTAAGGAAATAACTTCTCCTGGCTTCAAAAGTAACTGCCTTTGTTCATATATTCGACGCTCTCTTTTTGTTTGAGGAGGGCATCTTTTGCTGAATATTTTCCTAAGTCCAAAAACTTTCTTCTTGGTCGACAAAAACTAACTTCGACCACTTTGCTTTCGACCTTAGTGCATCAAAAGTAGCTCCTCTTACTTCCCTTAAATCCCATAATACTCTTCTTAGTCGACCAGACGCATTTCGACCATTTTTCCTTACTCTTCATCATTTGGTCAAATCAACCAAAATTTGCCATGGTTTGTTATGGACTCTTTTTTCCCTTTTTCCAACCGACACGGCTTACCTTTAACTCTTGGTGCAATATCCTTCTTTTATAAAGTCTAATTAAAGGACATCATACTTGTAATTATCTTGATCTCTAGCTTCTGACATTCTCGCCTTCAGAAGATAACCCCTAACTTATAGGATTGTATCCTTTGAAAACTATGCTTAAATACCTTAAGATTTTTTAAGGTAACAAAACCACAAACCCATTTTTATGTTCTTGGATCAGGAATTTCTTGAATAACTTTTACTTTTGCATGATCAACCTCGATACCTCATTTACATACAATAAAGCCAAACAATTTTCTAGATCTCACTCCGAAAGTGCACTTGTTTGGATTCAGCCTCAGCTTGAATTTCATCAATCTATCAAATAATTTTTGTAGGTGAACCGAATGTTCTTCCTCTGTCTAGGATTTTACAATCATATCACCAACATATACCTCAATTTCCTTATAAATCATGTCATGAAAGAGAATGACCATTGCGCACTAATATGTTGCCCATGCATTATTTAAACCAAAGAGCATCACTTTGTAGAAAAAAGTTCCTCACAGGGTAATCAAAGTTGTCTTCTCCGTGTTCTCTAGTGCCATCTTTATTTGATTGTAACTGAAGAAGCCATCCATGAAGGAAAACACTTTATACTGAGATGTATTGTCCACCAGAACATACCTTAATAATTTTAGTGGACCGGTCTGATTAATCACTACACCCCCTCCCCCCCAAGTAGAAAACAAACCTCCCCTTCTATTATAACTTCTAAAATGGACTAAA